TATATATAAAGAGAGAGAGAGGGAGAGAGAGTGAGAGATATTCCATTTTCAGTCATTAAATTAAAAATGTACACCATTTAAAGACATATTATGTAGGGAATCATATACTATCTACAACACATCATGTATCATGTGGTCGTAATTCTCAAACCTAGCCACCAATTGTTCTAGTCATCTTCTTCTACACTACACGCCTTCACCCCCCCCCCCCCTTCCCCGTTATTAGATACCAATACCTACCAACACCAAACTATCCATTGTTATGCTTGACCTTGCTTTCTACCTTTTTTCCTCTGAAAATTAGTGTCATTGCCTACGCCAAACGACACCAAGCTCACGTCGTGACCTCCTCCCATAGACATAGACTGTTGATTCACGCATATTCTTCTTATCTTAGCTCCACCATTGATACTCCACGATTGATGCATCTACCATCGATTATGTCAGTGTGTTCATGTCTTCATTTGCAATTGTAATTCATGTCTTCGTAAAAAATATGTATGTTCTTGTGATATATATATATATATATATATATATATATATATATATATATATATATATATATATTCCTTTTAAAAGATATGTTATTCATGAACCTTTTTAATATGATTTCGTTTAAGGGTATGATATGGATGCATAATGTAGTCAAATTCTTATGAGGGTTTTGGGGTTTTATGTGGTAAAAGGTAATTAGAAAGAGAAGACAACCAAATTCGTATTATTGATCAAGGACATACTTCATCTCTCAAAGCAAGCTATGAATGCTTTAATTAAAGCCTTAATTGTTTGCTTTAGTTTGGTTTTTCATTCAATTTTAAAGTAATTGGTTTGTGCATTCAATTTTAAGAATTTATGATCCTTAATGGTTTGCTTTATTCATATCGCCTATATTTTAAAATGCTTCTGACATGAATCTTATAGTTTTTTTTGGCTCTTTGGCGTACATGGTTGGAGCAATATACCAAAAATTGAATGATTTGAGGATTAAGTACATGAAGAGAACAATAGTAATAAAGGAAGATAAGGTGATTGATTCTAAGATAATTGCTATTTTTTAAGGAATTATATGCAATTGATTGTTTTGAATAATCATAGAACCAATTTTGACATGTAACGATTTTGAACATTTTCCATCTTCTCCGACTTCTCTCAATGTTCATTGTTTTTTAATATAAGTTCATATATATGAACATATATTCATATATGAAAATATTTCCATGATTGAACATATGTTCATATAAACATAGATTGATATGTAATTTTTTAGCATTTGTACAACACTAGATTTACATGTGTTAATATATGAACAAAGATTTAAATATGGAAATATGAACATATTTCCATATTTGAACGTATGTAATTTTTTTAATATTTGTAACGATTTTGAACATTTTCCATCTTCTCCGACTTCTCTCAATGTTCATTGTTTTTTAATATAAGTTCATATATATGAACATATATTCATATATGAAAATATTTCCATGACTGAACATATGTTCATATAAACATGGATTGATATGTAATTTTTTAGCATTTGTACAACACTAGATTTACATGTGTTAATATATGAACAAAGATTTAAATATGGAAATATGAACATATTTCCATATTTGAACGTATGTAATTTTTTTAATATTTGTACAACACTAGATTTACATGTGTTAATATATAAAGATCGTTCATTTATGAATATATGTTCATATACACGTATATGTTTATGTTGGAAAATTAATTTTGTTAATTTCCAAAAATGGATTTTCTCCATTTTTGAGCATAAATTTTGGACTCTAAATATAATCAAAATGAACTATTGATTATATATTCTTGTTCTCCTCCGTGAGATCTTCGTTTCGATATATCACACGTCCAAAACGGATTAAAAATGAATGAGAAATTACTTGTCAAAGTATGGCAATTGAAAGAGAAAATAAAGAAGTTAAGTGGGTTTTAAACTCATTCCACATTGGTGGGAGAATGAAAAGGAAATTGGTTTATAAGTTATAACTACAAAGACTAGCTATCTTTGTAAGAGTTATTAGAACTAATGCTCTCTCTTGCATGCGCACACAAGGGGGGTGCAAATGCGAGCCAAATTTGGTTTCGGGCCACTGAACTTGTGTGCGAGCGCGCATCTCTTTGTTAACAGTTACAAAAACGAATTAAAAGCTATTAATCATAGATTTCAGTTTTGATTTCTTGATTAATTGTCTTATTTAATTGTGACAGTTACGATTTCGTTTTAATTACATCTGTTACATTGGGTAGTATAAATACAACGCCTATGTGACTGATTCGATACACCGAATGAAACGAATTCATACTCTTTCTCTCTTACGTTTCTGCTTCATCTTTTCTCTCTTGCTGCAACCAAGGTATAATTTGGGCCAAATGAGGGTTCAGGCAATCTAGAAGAATTGTTTTTTAATTTTGTATCCTCGGAAACAAACACTTATATAGGGCGAATTTGTTTTAAGGAAACTGTGTTAAACACAAGCCTCAGTCAACAATTGTAGGGTTTTGTTCTTTCGTACAGTTTTGGGTTATATTTTTCCATTCTAGCTTATAAGTTATTTTTTACCAACACTATTAATTCAAAAGTTAGTTTATCAATTACTAACTAACTATTCAAATAAAAACTTATTTTTCAGTTAGTTTGTCAAACTGGACCTCAGGTTAAACATATATTTTTTAATATATAAATATAGAAAAAAATTGTGAAATGACCAAACATGAGGGACTGTTTGAAGAAAATGACAAAAAATTAGGAGTTTTCGAAAAATGACCATTCCGCAGAGAGAGCCTCTACGGAAGTCCTTTATATTTGAGGAAATGACGTGGAGGGGGAAAAAGACCAAAAAAAAATTATAAAATTTTATTTCCGCAGAGGGTGCATCGTTCCACATAGATGCCCTCTGCGGATATGTTTTTCAGAGGTACTCCTCCGAAAAATTGTTCTTCGCTAAAACATGACGTATGTTGACTAAATCGTCGAAAAGTAGACTTAGAAACATAGTTTTATAGTTTAAATTGTTATTTTGAATCAATGATATGTGCTAAATGTTGATACCTCGTTAGATTTAGAAGAAAACAAATACCTTAGGCCATGTTTTAGCAAAGAACAATTATGTACTTTGATTCTCTAAAGAACAGATCCGCAGATGACATCTCTGTGGAACGATGCACCCTCTGTGGAATTAAAATTGTATAACTTTTTTTTTTGTCTTTTTGTCCCGCCATGTCATTTCCTCAGAGAGTTTTGTTGTTCCTCAGAGCTAAATGACTTACGCGGAGACCCTCTTTACGGAAATCGTGGTCATTTTTTGAAAACTCTTAATTCTTGGTGATTTTCTTCAAACAACCCCTTTTTTTTTTTTGTCATTTCACAAATTTTCTCATAAATATATGTTTGTACATGTATTAACTTTTGAGATGTTTTACTCCTATATGTTTCACTAGTATTCTTATTGTTGCGATATCATCCGTATTATTTTTAAACAAGTTTTATATTGTTTTAAAAGTTTTAAGAGTGTTTCGGACTTCTGTTAACATGGAAAGATATTTTATTTTCAAAATAATTATTAAATTCAAATTAATCTTACGGGAGATGTTTACATAATCTATAACTTAGATTACAGGTTCAATCCTTGTTTTTAATGTAAAGACATTAAGATTTACCTCCCAAAAATATGAACCATGATACTAGTCGGTGGCGGAGCCAGAAATTTTGATACGGGATACAAAGATTATCAATATATATTCTATGTAGTTATCATATTCTGGACATTAAAAAACATGGTCCAATATCTTAAGATGGAGATACAATAACATAGAACATGTTTACAAATAAAATATTTTATATACATAAAACAATTTTTTGGGATGTTGTAGTATCCCAACGTCCCATCTAGCTCCGCCACTGATACTAGTTGAAAAGGGAATCTACAAAATATTAAACGAAGGATCCTCGGAGTGTATATCAAAGTGTTATTCATATAAAATACATATCAATCCCACAACAACAATTTGTAAAGAAAGGTAAGATTATAAGAAAAGCATTTGTGTCGTATAAAAGATGATCTTAGACAAAATATCATTTAAAGAGGGGGTTAATTGAAACATTAAACAAAAAACATGGTTTTATTTATTTATTAATTTATTTATTATTTCTGTGTATACTATATACTAATGACTTTGAAAAAGCGAAAAAAACACTCCCTCGTTTCCCCTCTACTTCCGGCAAAGCGACCGACACATTACCTAACAA